GAGAGAGAGAGAGAGAGAGAGAGAGAGAACAGGTAAGTGTGTGTGTGTGTGTGTGTGTGTGCGCTGCCGCCGCTGCCGCGCTGCGCCCTCGCCCGCGCGCGTTCAGCGCACTTTGTGTGTGTGTGTGTATGTGTGTGTGTGGTCGCATGGCGGGTGGCGGTCGGGTGGGGCGACCCCTCCCCCACCAATCAATCAATCAATCAATCAATCAATCAATCAATCAACAAAAAAAAAAAAAAAGCAAAATCGAATATTAAATGAATGAATGAATCAATCAATCAATCATTCAAAGGCGGGGTTGGGCGACCCCGCCCCCACCAATCAATCAATCAATCAGTCACTCACTCAATCAATCAATCAATCAATTAATCAATCAATCAATCAATCAATCAATCAATCAACAAAAAAAAAAAGCAAAATTGAATATTTAATGAATCAATCAATCAATCAGTCAATCAATCAATCAATCAAAGGCGGGGTGGGGGGACCCCGCCCCCACCAATCAATCAATCAATCAATCAACGGAAAAAAAAAAAAAAAAAAAAAAAAACGTTCATTTTTTTTTTCTTCATTTCTCGTCATAATATAGCCCAACCCCCCCAATTAAAAATTGTTTTTTTTTCATTTTTTATTGTGTGAGGGAGTGGGGCCGGGGTTGCGCCGCCCCATGGCGCTTCCCGAATCCCCAACCCCCTTCCCCTCTGGCCGCCACGTGGCGTCAAAGCCGCGCGTCCGCGGGGTTGGCGGACTGGTCGTGTCTGCGGATTCGGCCACGCTTGGCCACCGCCGACGGGGATTCATAGCCTCCGTCAGCCTAATCTCAATCATCATCATCCACAGATCCCGATCTCCCTCCTTATCGCAACCCGTCACCTCATGTAGACAGCGTGGCCAGTGCCACGTCAGCAAAAGAGACAGGTGGCATGGGCCACATCAACAATGAAGACAGGTGTCAGCGCCACATCAGCACTGCAATGTAGACAGGTGGCAGCGCCACATCAACAATGTAGACAAGTGGCATGCGCCACTTCAGCAATGTAGACAAGTGGCATGCGCCACATCAGTGATAAGTGGCATGCGCCACATCAGCAGTGTAGACAGGTGGCATGCACCACATGAGCAAGGTAGACAGGTGGCATGCGCCACATCAGCAAGGTAGACATGTGGCAGCGTCACATCAGCAATGCCTGGCGCAGAGAACAGAAAGCGCCAGCATGCTGCCACAGTCCGGCGTCGTTGTCCTCAGTGTCAGAGTCAAGCCAGCGTCGAGCCAGTGCTCTGCTAGCGTCAAGGCAGCATAGCAAGACTGATGTCTACCTCCTGGAGACCAAGCCTTAAGTAGTGTTTGATGAGGCTGTCGGGCCTCAGGTCTCCTTCCCAGTCCTACAGATTGACTCACAGCAGTTGCAGACTTCCTTTGGTCCTGATGCTGTCTGGGTACCTGCATACAAACAAGTGTGTGTGTCTGACCTGGGCTGGGTACACTTTGACTTGACTGTAGGGTGTCGGACAACTGTCACTCGTCCAGGCCCTGAATCTTTACATGGGGCTCTTTTTCCCCTTCGGCCTGCGTCTGGGTGAGGCCTGGTAAGGCCCTCAGACATTCCACGAGGCATACTGCACGGGTTATTGCACACATATTGACTCACTGTAAATAGTCACTAAAACAATTTTTTTTATTTACCTAAATAAGAAGCCACAGTTGAATGAGCGATTGCCCCCTACGCATTGACTCCTCGTCTCTTTCCCTCATACCGCATTCCATCAATTTCCATGTCCAAATTCATTTATAGCATGCTGTATAGCGCTATAGATTGTATAGAGCTGTAGCCTGTGTGGAGAGCTATGGCCTGTTGTATAGAGCTGTAGCCTGTGTCGAGCTATAGCCTGTTGGCCCTGTTGTATATAGCCTATAGCCTATAGCCTATAGATTTGTATAGATCCTGTTGGTTACCGCCAACAACTTAAGTAAACCGTGTAGCTATTGAAGAAACGAGTCGAGGATTGGTTGGGAGAAGACGAGGTACCTATCTAAGACGGCGATTGACTATAGACGAACGAGTGCTCTCTCTCTCTCATCTACAACGGTTGTTTCCCTCGAGAAATAATAGAATTTTCACAGCAGCTGCTGAAAGCCTGAAAGAAGGGCAAAATAAACACGAAAAAGGGAAGAGAATTTACAGCAGCTTCCGTTAGCATATTTTAATTGCGTGATTCCCACTGAGTTTAAGATCTCTCATTATAGCTGAATCGTCTTACTCGGCCACTTTTTCAGGACGCTACCACTGCCTACCAGTGCTGTTCGTTAACCTTACCAGTTTGAGCCATGGTTAACGAATCTGGTACCTGTAGTCGGCTATAGTCAACCTATAACCTATAGTCAATGACGACCAGTGTTCTTTAACCTTACCCTCCCTTACCCTTTTCCCACCTTACGCCGAGGCTTACGGTCCTCACCCACCTTTTTCCCACTGCCCTCCATTCATTCTTTCCGTCGTTTCTTGGTTGGTTGGTTGGTCGGTCTAGTGTTAAATTTTGTCGTTTGTTATTGTGAGGAAGAGACGAGCAAGGGACAGACCGAATTGAAATCTTGATAGGGCTAGGAGCCTACGTAGGAGGAGGGGCAATCATCGAAAAAAAGGAGAAGGAAAAGGCAAAAGGGAGAGGGGGGGAGGGGGGGCGAAGAGTACAAGAAACAACAAGGAGCGAGAATAGAGAACAGGAGGAAGAAGTGAGAAAGAAAACCCGGAAGGAAAAGGAAAAAAAAAAAAAAAAGGAAGAGGAAGGGCTGAAAAAAAAGCACTGCCAGGATGATTCGGATAAAACAGACAGGGTCGATGAAGAGTGAGGTGGCAGAAGCGGCGTTGGGACAGCTGTCTGAGTCGCGACTGATTAATGACGCGATCGGGACTTTCGAGCCACGTGCGCAACTGGAAGTGTTGTTCAATGACAGCATGGGAGGTATGGAGGGGCAATTGGGAGCGACGTACGCAATTCAGAGTGGTAAATTGATGAGTGCTACCCACGTTAAGGAGCCCCCTTTGGTCGATGTCATTGGTGAGGTTGGTCCATCGGATTACCTGGCGCTCTTGTTGATCGACGTCGATTGGCCCCGTCCTGCGACAACCCGCGTCGAAGCAGGACAGAGGGAGATGGAAGAGGCGGCAAGGCAGGCAGCGCATAGCGATGACAAAGTGAATTGGCTGCTGGTGGATATACCGGGAGCGATTGCTACGATTGAAGGTACTTACTGTTTTTTTCTTTTCTTTTTCGTGTTATTATTATTATTATTATTAGTAGTAGTAGTACTATTATTAGTATTATTAGTATTATCCTTTAAAAAAAAAAAATAGTATTATTATTACAATAGGATGTTGTGAATGGAGACTTTTTCTCGACTTACGCGTGTGATCTTTGCGGCACCGGCCATGCTAATATTACTTGCTTGCTGTGTATCGTTCCACGTTGAATCGAATGTGTGTCATTGTGTCCCCATAGGATGATAGGACAGGTACAATATTATCGATAATATGTGAACAGTTCCAGGATCTGGACCGGGTGCAGACCCTGGTAAAGGAGCAAGAAGGGAAGGAGCGTCCTTATATATTGACGATATATGAAACTCCGACGAAGCAGTTTGTCACAGCCCCTCGTTTGTTTGTTTGTTGTCCTCTTCTCCCCTTAAATTCTCCCTCTGCTGCCTACGGTTTACCGGGCAGCTCTGTTTGACGATACATATATGATATATAGACGATACATATATGATATATAGACGATACATATATGATATATAGACGATTTCGTTTGTTGTCCTCTTCTCTCTCTCTCTCTCTGCCTACGGTTTACCGGGCAGTTCTGTCTGTGACGATATATATATATATTGTGACAATATATATACTCCGACGTTGCTAGCTCTCTGCTTTTGCAGATGATGCGGCGAGCGTCGGGCCTGTACTAGCAGGCTTTGCTTTTATTATGGTAGAAAATAATTTCTACATTTGTTCTTGTCATTCCTCCTTTTCTTGTTTCTTTTCCTTCTCTTTTTTCTCCGTTGCTGGGGTATTCCGTTTTGAAGGCCTACAGTATGGTTCCGTTTTTTTACTATGGATATGGTAGATCTGTTATGGTATTTAAGAAAACGTTAGAGAAAGGACAAGGGAAGGAAGGCGTATTAGTCAAACAAATTAAATGACACATCCCATAAACAAACTAAATGACACATCCCCTTTTTTTTATGTATTTTTCCCCGTTGTTGGGGTATTTTGTTCTGTTGTGGTAATCTTGTCCGCATGCATCCCGGTTGGTTTTGTCCCGTTGTTGTTCGGTCTATTTCGGCGAGCGTAGCGTAGCGGTGCTTTTATGTGGGACCAGTCATCCGGGTTCTCTTTTATTGTCTTGGCATCCTAGTTGGTTGCTTCCCGTTGTTCGACCTGTGTGAGGGAGCGGTGCTTTCATGTGGGAGTCGTCATCCGGGATTGCCTTTTATACCGGTCCTCCGGGTTCTTTGTGGGATCCTAGTTGGTTGCTTCCCGTTGTGTTCGGCCTATCAATGGGGGCGGTGCTTTTATGTGGGAATCATCATCTAGTATATAATTTTTATGAGAAATTCCTTATAAATTCAATGAGCAGCAGCATGCCAGCAGCGAGTCACCGAATCATCGATGCCATCATTACTACAACTCCCATTATTTTTGCTGCTCTCATCTGTGTCTCTTTTCTTTCTTGTTTGTTGCCGAAAATTCTTTCTTTTTTCTTTTTTCTTGTGCCGTTGACTTCCTGTTGACTTCCCGTTGACCTTGTCTTTACGCTCGTTTCCCAGTCTTCTCCCTCTCCCCCCCTCCCCCCCTCCCCCCCTACCTCCTTCCTCCCTCCCTTCGCATCCCTCGTCCGCCCAGGCTGCCTGCTTTTTCCAACTCTCTGCTCTTAGAATTGCCCTCAGTGCCCAGCTGGTTCTGTGTGCCCTACCACCTCCTCCCTTCTCCTCCTTGTACTTGTTCTTTTCTTGAAAAAAAAAACCAAAAAAACGGGTTCTCTCTCTACCCTAGCCCTTAGTTTCCTATCCTTCTGTCCTTGCTGCTCCTGATTCCGTTCCTGCTGCCTTTTTTTTTTTTTTTTGGTGCTATTTCGTACCCTCTCTCTCTCTCTCTCTCTCTTTCTCTCTCTCTCTCTCCTGTCTCTTATACACATCTAGATGTGTATAAGAGACAGCCTTTTTCTTTCCCCCCCCTTTTGCTATTTGCCCTTTCTCTGCCCCCTGTTCTTTTTTTACGAGTCCCTTTCTTTGCTGGCCATCTATCATCATGATAACGCAACGAGGCTTATTGGGCCTCACTCCACTAGTCGCCAGATCTGCAAAATGTGAATGAATCTGTCGCTAAAGCATGGAAAGATACACCGCCGTATTTTTTTTTTTTTGCCTTTTCTGCATGTGGCCTGTGGTGGATCGAGGCCCATTTCATATCCTACTTAAGTTAATGATTGGTAGGCTCCACCGTCTTCACCCGCGAATTGGTTGTCCTTGTCGGGTCACGATTGCCACCGTATCTGGACTGAAGGGTGCACCACATACAGACTGATACAGCTATATAATGACCGGGCGTTCTAATCGGGTGAAGACAGTAGTAGAAATCATTGTAAATAATAATTATAACTATTAAGTTGCCCGTAAATCGCTATAATTGAATCGCTAGCAGATTACGACTCAATGGGGCTTGTGAAACCCGCCTTCCCCCGAACACAACGCACCCTAATATTGGCTGTATGGGACCGGAAAGCTAGAATGTATGCATGCATAATCAGGGTGCGTTGTGTTCGGGGGAAGACGGTACTAGTACCTCCTGACCTAGTAGTAACACTGAAAGCATTGCTGCTGGTTGAAGCGGGTACCAGGAAGATGCAGTCGCGTCTATTTCTTTGTGGGGAAAAAAAAAAAAAAAAAAAAAAAAGGAGATGCAGTCGGTCAAAATTTCTTGAACGATCTGAATCGTATGTTCTTTTTTTCGGGGGCGGGAAAAAAAAAAAAAAAAAAAAAAAAAAGAGTTAGGAAGATGCAGTCGCATCTTTTCTTTGTGGAAGAAAAACCAAAAAACAAAGAAAGCAAAAAACACACAAATAAAGCAAATAGAAAAACGAGAACGGGAAACGGATCCACCATCCCAATAGAATCTCAGAGTCTCAGAGACTGCTGAGAATCGGACTCAGCTTCCCATGATTGAAATGAAATGAAATGATCAACTGGCTGGCTTGCTGGGAAACAGGCCCGGGGCTAGGTCCCACTTGCACGAATTATGAGATACTGACCGTAGATAGCAAAGATCAACGGCCCAAATCTCCTAATTTGCGCAAGTGGGACCTAGCCCCCGGCGTCCTTTAGTGGAGTGGACCAGCAGATTGCCTGGAGATTGGCTGCTCGAAGAGAAGGACAGAAATTCAATGATTCAATCAGACTCTGAGTTGTGCAAAATGTCTCTGACGCTGAGCGGGTTATCTGTGGCAAGTAGACTTGGCGATCACGAGGGCTTAATGCTCAATTCCATCAATCTTAAGAACCGAATCGTATGTTTTTTTTTTTCCGGTGGTGGTGGGGGGGGGGAAGGGGGGGGGGAAGGGGGGGGAAGCCAGGAGGATGCAGTCGCATCTGTTTGTTTGTGGAAAAAAAAAAAAAAAAAAAAAGGAGATGCAGTCGGTCAAAATATTTCGAACGATCTGAATCGTATGGGTGTTTGTTTTTTTTTCGGCGGGAAAAAAAAAAAAAAAGTTGTCGAAACATTTGAATCGACAGGGAGGGAGAGATTAGATGCACAGTCTAAAAGCGCTCACTGACAGCTGTAAACACTCATGTATTTTTTTGGGCTGTTAATAAGCGGACCTGAGTTCGAATCTTGGTTAATGAAAGCAGGTAAGGAAACGTAGGAAAGTAGCAATTACCTGGAGCTGGGCCCGAGTCCCACTAGCAGCGTTGAGTTTTTCCTCAACTCCTGAATCTGGTCGTGTTTGTGGAGATGTGCAGACATGGCGTAGAGTTTCCTCAACCGCACATCTCCACAAACACGACCAGATTCAGGAGTTGACGAAAAACTCAACGCTGCTAGTGGGACTTGGCCCCTGGTTAGTTCCATGCTTAATGATATATCAATCCCGTCGCCGACCATCATAAAACGAATTTTTAAACGAAATTTTAGTACGTCGGATGAACGGATGATACGAACTCAGTGATATAAGTTTACCAAAAGTAGAGAATGAACTCACTCCATCTCCATGCAATGACACAGCCGAACTGTGATATACACTCAAAAAGTGACTCAAACTCGGAGGAAGGGAAAAAAAGGACACGGACGAAAAAGGAAGGTTGAAGAAGAAACAGAAAATGGAAAGTACCCCGAGCGCATCAGCTCGTAATAATATTAAATTATTAATCATATTATGATATTATGATGAGTGCAACAAAAAGGATCATGGCGTTTGCACCATGACATGAAGAACACACTGGCGATGGAACATTGGAACCGCAGAGCAGCAAGTGTTGTGTGTATGAGTGTAACACTGTAGCATGCACCCAGACGTGGGTACACTGTCAGTACAAGTTGTGGTTGAGCGAATGTATCGAGCCGCAATTACGGCCATATTAGAATTGTTGATAAGGATGGATATCTCGTTGCATCAAGCAGTCAAAGCAAAAGATGCTGGATATCTCAAGTACAAAGTACAAAAGTACAACAGTACACAAGTACAAGGTACAGAAAGTACGAAGTACAAAGTACATCAGTACGCAAGTACAGGTACAAATCATGAATGATTGCACGCCGGTGGGTATGGCACCCCGACCGGTTTCGACGGCCGCCAGGCGCCACGCGGTCCTCCTCAGGGAGATTTCCACCAAAACTTCTTCCCTCATCAAAATCGTGCAACCACTCTCCCTCCTCCGTCATCATCCCGCAAACATCTCCGGAAAAACTTGCGGGAGTCGCAACGTAGGACCCGAAAAGACCAAAAGGCGCTACAATCATTGGTCATATAGTTGTCGACAGGACCTAACTGACGTACGTTTGACTGACGAAGGTAAACTGACAAAATTCATATATGGTGAGGGCCGTACTCGCAGTAGCAGAAAGAACTGCCCACTCGGTAGGGCCTGGCCACCCGATCAAAGCGTATCCTACTCATAGTTCTAAGGCCAAACACACCTATAACAGGGCCACCCGATCAAAGCGTTTTAATCTGTTTTTTCTGCGGGTGCTGAAAAACAGATTAAAACGGCGGCGGTTCAAGACCTTCCTGCTGCTCAGCAGTAGTTCAGACCCCGCTACTACTCGAAGGGTAAAAAACGATTCACGGCCTCAACGTGAGGTACAGGTACTGGGTTCGATATCGTGTTGTACTTCTTCTCATAGGTAGCGGTTCGAGCCCTGCCGCTACGTACAAGTCTCTCAAAAAAGTAACCCCTGCACAAAGTTTTTCAGATCCAACTACCAAAAAACTACGTCACAGGTCAAAACATGCACAGCATGACGGGCCACCCTGTTATAGTGCCACTACTTTCAGGTCTCATGAATCAGTAAAATTGTCAAAATTCAAAAAATCCAAGAAATCCAAAAAACTTCATAAAAGGCAGAAAAAGCAAAAAACGCAGAAAAAACTCACACACAGAGTCACCGCATACACAGAGGATGCTTCATTCCCAGGTAGAAGCCTAACCCTGTCATATTGCATTTAGTGGAGAAGGTCCTTTAGTGTGAGCGAATGTATCGAGCAACAATTACGGCCATATTAGGTTGAAAAGGTCCTCTAGTGGAGTCCGCTGTGAAATCAGTTGCCTACCAACGCACCTACCTCACTCAGTTGGTACACCCCGGAAGAAAAAAAAAAAAAAAAAAAAAAAGAAAAAAGGTTGGTACACCCTTGTACCGTTGAAACTCGAAATACCGTTTTTTTTTGTGAATTACGTGGGGCCGGTCAGTTGAATGATGATGGTATCTCAAGGCAGTCGTCCTTTTTTGAAAAAGCATTGAAAAAAAAGAAGGAAAAAGAAAAAATCAACATCTTTTGTTTTTGAAAGTCCGATATCTTGCGGCGGACAATGCCGGACATGCAGAATGTAAAAAGTAAAAAAATAATTGAAAAAAAAAGAAGAAAAATTATGATACCTTGAGATGATGATTTGACGTCGATCAAAATGTGCAAAATGGATTTAATGGAGCATGTATCTTCTGCAAATTATGGACGTAATTGCCGTCAGCGGCGTCAGGTGCATCACGGCTTGGTCAGAAAAGCGGTCGTATGCATCCATGGAAGTCCCATTGTGAATATCCCCTTGAGACAACGGGTCCCTTTACTTCTTCACCCCGCCCCCCCCCCCGACCCGACACCAACTATCAAAAAAGAGAGAGAGAGAGAGAGAGAGAGAGAGAGAATCTGTTTGCATATCTTAGATATCTATATTGTTTCTATAGACGAATAGAATATGCCGGGGGGGATTATTTGCCTATATATATTTTTTCTTTTATCGTTTGTCGGCCATTTCTCCCTGATGTGGAATGGCATCTGTGTATTGCGGGCCCGCTGTTTGAGTCTGTTGTGGTTCCGTTTCTTTTACTCTTTGATTATATTTGGATTGTTGTGTTCGTTTCTTCAACAACTCCATATCTGTTGGTAGTGTCGAAAGCTTTATGTGTCCTTAGTCCTACAGGTGAGGTTTTGTTTGCTCCTCCTTTTCTTTACCTCTTTGCCTTTTTTTGGCTGGCAGTGCGTGCAAGTGGGAGTGGGTCCTTGTGGCACACGGGGATGGGGGCAGCAGCCGGTGCTCAACCTGTCATCCACGTGGCCGGCCTTGTACGTAAGAGGTGATGAGCAGGCGGAGCTTTCCTTCCTTCTTTCCTTTTTCTGTTTTTTTTTTTGTTTGTTTTTTGGCCTTTGCGCACCGATACACGGTGTGACGATGTATATGCCCCGGGGCGAGCTCCAATAAGAAAGAGGATCGGATTAAGCGCCCGAATCTGGATGTGTTTCATAATGAACTTGGTCCATTGAGGACTAGAGGCCGCCCAGGGAAGCTGTGTCGATTGCATTCAATGCCTTGCGAAGTGCCCGAGTCGCACTGCTATCCTATCCGATCTTATGCAATTCTCTCTCTCTCTCTCTCTCTCTCTCTCTCTCTCTCTCTCTCTCTCTCTCTCTCTCTCTCTCTCTCTCTTTTCCTTGCTTCCCCGTACAGTCTCCCCTTTTGTTAACAGTGATGTTTGCGGAGGACATCCCTGGTCGTGTGACATGCGAGGTCTTAATAATATGCAATTCGATTTCTCTCTCTCTCTCTCTCTCTCTCTCTCTCTCTCTCTCTCTCTCTCTCTCTCTCTCTCTCTCTCTCTCTCTCTCTCCGTTGATGTTTGGAACGATGGTTGCTGACAACCTTGGTGCTCGTGTGTCATGCCTTTTCTTGTTTGCATGACTATGTGGATTTGTTTCTGTTCTTCACCGCTCGCCACGTGTTGGAGTCTTCGAGATCACGTGGCTATGGATAGGGGGTGCCAGCCTGCCAGGGTGGGGATCGGGATGGGGATGGGGATGGGGATGGGATAGGATGGATACTCGATGCTGGGTTTTTGTTGTGTAACTCGTGCATAATTTGTGTAATTTGGTACACTTACGTGTAGTTTGTGTGTAATTTTTGTAACTTGTGTGTAATTTTGTAATTAGTGTGTGGTTTGTGTATAATTTGTGTGATTTGTGCGTAATTTTTGTGATGTGTGTGTGATTTATGTGTGATGTGTGTGTGCTTTGTGTGTGCTTTGTGTGTGCTTTGTGTGTGCTTTGTGTAGTTTGTCTATTTATTTGTAAGTTGTGTAGTTCATGCGTAATTTCTGTGTGATTGATCTGTAATTTATGTGTAGTTTATCTGTACGTTATTATGTGTACTTTGTTTAATTGTGTGCAATCGTTTGTGATGTGTAATTCATGCGTTTTTTTTTCTTTTCTTTGTGTAATGTACCGGATTAAATTCCGTTACTATGGAATGCAAAGGCATCCCTGCGAAGGATTACGAAGTGATTCCGTACGAGCCGCCCGAGCCGAAGGCAGGGGTTCACCGGTTGGTCTTCGTTTTATGCAAGCAAGGGCAGCAGGCAACGGGTCTGCTAAGAGACGAAGGATCGAGGCTCACCCTTGCACGGGACAAATTTCCCACTCGACGGTTCTTAAGGGAGCACGACATGCAACCCATCGGCGCGGTCTACTTTCTTTGTCAGTCATCGATAGCTGTGCCGACGGTGGGGCAGGTATCATCATCAGCCCAGCCTCCTGTGCCCAGTGTCTCCTGAGTCCCTCAGACTCGGATGAACAGAAACAGAGTTCGACAGAGAGAGAGACCTTGGAAGTTGGAGCAGCAGAAAGAATTGCAATGCCATCATGATTGTGGGGTCTCGAACTCTTGACTCTGTGGGTCCATTGTGGGAGCAGAAATCAGAAGAAAAAGTAGAAAATCTGGACCTCTTCTTTCTTCTTCCTGAGACTTCCTCTTCCTTTTTCTTCGTTTTTTTTTTTTCTTTTTTCGTTTTTTTTTTGTTGAAATACTCGGAATGCCCCCTGCACTGCCTGCAGTGCTAGTGGTGCTGGTAAAACCGTACAAGCAGGCACCACTACAGTCTTCCCCCGAATACAACGTACGGTCATTATAGCTGAATTTGGACTGAAAGATCCACCAAATTCAGCTATAATGACTGTATGTTGTATTCGGGGGAAGACTGTAGCACCTGGGGAGAGGCTCCATGCATCAGTGGAGAGCATCACCAGCGGGAAAGGGGGTCCAGCGTCCCATATACAGAATGCACGAGAAATTTTAAGATGTTATGAGGAAAGATGACTGAGAAAACGGCTGCCAGCATTGATTGCTCTGGCATCCAGAGGATTAACTGTGCAGGTTGTTGTTGAGCATTAAAAAAAAAGAGGAGGAAACCTCTTGTTCCCCTGTACCAGGCACCAGATTGCAGCCGAGAAACTAGTTTCTCCCTCTCCCCCAACTACCTCTACCCACCCTCTCCCACTCAACCCGTTTCAAAGCAGAACGAAATAAAGATGAAAGAAAGACAGAAACAGAGGCCGCACCTTCAGTGCAGCAAGAAACACAGCAGACATGGTAATAATCAAACAGGGGGGCTGCTGAAAAAAGGGCTGGGTTAATAGATAAGGGGTGCTCATATAAAGGGAAGGGTGATACTAGCAGCTCCACGGGACGATGGAGCCCCAGGATGAGTAAGCAATAACCACAGGCCCAGAAAACGACGAACATCAATCCCATTGCTTCACGATGTATCAAATGGGACGCTGGACCCGGTTTCCAGCAGGTGCTGCTCCCCACCAATAGATGGAGTACTAGCCCGATAGGTAAGCCCTCAATTCTGACGATTCTCCTACCCCCGCCAGGATAGAGGGATATCGCAAGGGCATTTCAAAAAAAAAAAAAAAAAAAAAAAAAAAAAGAAGAAGAAGCAGGCTGCACTGCTGCAGGACTCTGCAGGAGCAGCAGAAAGAATACAAGGGTCATTGCCGCAATTTGCCGGTTGTTGCACCCTTGAGGGCCTTGACCCTGTGGGAGCAGAAGTCAGAATTTTGGAAAAGAAAAAGCAGGCGGCAAGAGCTGCTGCACCTGTGAAGCCGAGTGAAAGCGGAAATTTACGCAAGAAAGGAAGAAAGACAGAAAGAATCTGAGGCCGGATGTCTCGCTGCATCAGGACTGAACATTGTGCCAGATGCAGCTATAATGACCGGGCGGGCCTTCTATGAGGGCCAAGGTGGTAGGGCTCTTCATTCGCAAGGGCACCATCAAGAGACTGTCAGGTGATTAGCACTCCTTGTGCTCGCAAATTCGCAATGTCTAGTCTGCAGGCGGCCAGGCTCCGTGGCCAAGCGTTGAAGGGTCCAGACTGTTTGAGTGGCAGATATGATCATAATGATTGTGAAAAGTGTGAAACTTGGCAGCAAGATATCAGGCTGAGGTTTAAACCACCAATACTTCTGAGGCATTTTTCTCTGGGGGATAATCGGTAGAAGGCGCCCACGCCAAAACCTTTTCGGTTTTGGCCACCCAAAGTTTAGTCGTTTGGTACTACCGGGCCTACCGGCCCAATGATGACTTGCATGCGGGGTACTACAGGCCCATGCGTCTCTCCAAGGGCCCTACCGGATCATGCATCTGGTGCATAACAGTGCCAGATTCATTTTGATGTAAAAGAGGCCGGCTGTGGTACGCAAGTATCGAATGAGGCCCACGTATGCGATTTTGTAAAAGAAGGGCCCTACCAGTTCATGAATCTGGAGCAGAAACAGCGCCAAATTCTTGAACCGGTAAAAACAGGCCCAGGGAGATGTGGCCACGGTGCGAAGGCGCCTTTCACCCAGGGGAAAGTTGTTTGGGCCGGTAGTACCAAACGGCCGAACTTTGGGAGGCAAAAACCGAAAAGGTTTTGGCGTGGGCTCTTTCTACCAATTATCCTTTTCTCTGGGGCTGGAAACGCCCTGTGCACACAAAAAAACCGAAACGGTGCTCTTAGCCTGGCCTGCTTTTGGCTGGCCCCGCCAGGCGGTGCCAGCCCTTCTGCTCTTGAGGTGGCATTTTGCTCTAGACTCTAGAGGCTGAGCCCCGAAAGTTGTGGCTGCACGCGAGCCGCATGTCTTTCTTTCATAGCAGGGAAGCGAAGCGTGTCACAAGGTGATAGAGGTGATGCTGGCGAGTTTTTTTGTTTGTTGTTTTTTGGGGGGGGGTGTGGGGGGGATGTGTAGGGGGGGGGTGTGTATACCAAGTCATTAACAAACCACCCACTCACAGGGCTCGGGGATTGGCTTGGTCGGGGCCTGAGAAGACTGTGGGCAGGCCAGGATAGGAGGCCCAGGGTTCAGGGTTTAGGGTTTAGGGTTTAGGGGACCACACGAGAGTGCAGCACAGCACAGCACGAGTTGAGGGGCGGGCCAGTGCAGCAGTGCAACGAGTGTCCGGGTCTTACAGCACCACCACAACTTCACCAAGGTTGCCGGGCAACCACCTGAAAGGTAGGTCGTCTGGCCGCTGATACTACAGTCTTCCGCTGAATACAACGTATGGTACAGTGGTACACCAAATTCAGCTGCAATGACCGTACATTTGTATTCGGGGAAGACTGTAGGAAGCATCGGTTATCTCGCCGAGCGCTTAGCCGCCCGGGGGATCCCGGGGGCTCCGAACTGCATGACATTGATATAGGCACCAGGGGGTAGGTGGGGCTTCCTCAGCCTCCCTGTGCTTGTCTCCCCCTCCAGGAGGAGTAGAGGGAGCTTCTTGGTTGCATGGAGTCCATGAGCATGAGGCTAACTAAAGGCAGGTGTGAGGGGTCGTATATCCTTCCCTGGGCCCTGGGGAAGTAGTCAAATTGAATGTCGTCCGCTTTGACCTCCCAGCCATTTTCGGGAGGAGCGTTGTGTGGGGGAAATATGTATTCTTCTCTGGACTTGACTGTGGAAAAGGAACCGGACTGTTGCTCCCCAGAATATAGACGGAGCCTTGTTGTTTAACAACAACAACAAAAAAAAAAAAAAGACAACTCATTAGCAAATGTGGGGTGGGACCTCACAATCCAACCCCGGGACGGGGGCCATTACCCAGCTTCGGCTTGTTCTGGAAACCGGCTCCAGACTCGGAGTCGCATCTTCTTCGTAGGGCAAGAACTTTCCAAAAAATCAACATGCAGCCCGGGCCAGAAGAAAAATTACGCAACATCCAAACCGAACCGCCGAACCCAGACCACAGACCTCACCCGACATTGTGGGACCTGTCTGTGACTACTATTTTACCGTAAAAGGTGGCTCAAGCGTACCAGTACTTCGACCAGCTGGAAACTACCAAATTTCCTTCCACCGTAAGTATGTAACCACAGCTAGCTTATTGCCCTGGGCCGAAGGCTTCAGAAACTGAGGCCGGCCCCTACCTCGGCGACCAGAGCAATTCTTTCAATCTGACAAAACATGAGTCTTATATTCGAGCGTATCTGTTTCTGCGCTGGTGAATCGTCACTTTTTTCCGAGCGTCACTTTTTCGCCTCTGAAATTCTGAATAAGGGCTAGATCCCACTAGACCCTATTGTTCATTTCTGACCGTTGATCTTCGTAATCGAGGGTGAAAAATGAATAATCCAGGGTAGTGGGATCTGAGTCATTTGACCCTAAGCCAGCTGCATTCCTTGCTTTCCAAATTTCCCGCATAATTATAGCGCCTCGGCACACCAGAGCCACGTTGCGGCGTAGCCCCACACCACTTGGGACCTCAAGTCGGGAGAGGGCACAATCCCATAGAGGACCCAGTCATCATCCCTGGCCAGCGAAAAGCGGGCAGCACACACACTGGCAAGGGTTGGACTCCCACCCCAAGTCACAGCCCTTGCATGTAGTTGACACCTGCCCCTGGACGCCACCTAGAACGCTGTGGAGACCACAAGGAGAGACTGACTGCATCCACAATAAACTAGTAGCATTTTTCTGAGACCAGATACGGTACAGAGCTCTCAACTGAGCCAGCGAATCCAGCTGTGTTGAGTCACCATCTGTCTGGTATCCCACCTCTACAACAACCTGGGCTTTTATATATTAAAAAAAAAAGAAAGGAGCCTTTTACCGGGATACCAGGGCAGACCGCTCTGGTATTGCAGGGCAGACCAGGGTGTTTCATATTAAAAAAAAGAAGAGAACTGCGCTGGTGACTGCCACACAGTTCAAAATTCGCAGAAATAACAGTCCACTGCAAGATTGAGCCATGAGCAGTTCGAAACAGCAAGAAAAACAGTGAACTGCGCTTCAGACGGCATATAAGATCGATAATTCGCAAAAACGGGAGGTGGCCTGGGCCAGTGGTACCGCGTGGCCTGGCCTGGCCTGGCCTGGGAGAAGGTACCGGTAGCAGGCCCTCCCGTTTTTGCCAATTATCGAATCGGTAGGCCGTCTACGCGGTACCATGGTCGTGCTGACCCCGCCCCAGTTGCTCTCTCTCTCTCTCTCTCTCTCTCTCTCTCTCTCTCTCTCTCTCTCT